CACAGGTATTACATTGAGAAGAATCATAACCAGGATAACAGAATTTTCAGCAGAAGGGGATGTAGGAATGTCAATACAAGTGACTTTCTGGAAGTTAAATTTAGTGCCATGGTTCCTGGTGGGAATTGTTGAAAAATTAGAACCATCTGCAGGACTGAAAATTTTGTGAGCCTTTGTTATACTTCTTTATTTTTATTTTTCCTTCTTGGGTATCAAAACCTATGTTTCAAATTTTCTGACATTTATAGCATAGTACTTGTGAAATTTTGTGAGTCACAAAGTTGTAAAATGGTACCTGTTGTAGTTTTCCTGAATTTTCCTGAGGATTTCAAGGCTGAATATCATTGTGTATACTATCTTGACCTTGAATTTCCTCTTCTGAAAAGTATCTGTTGATAATTGTATCTATTATTTGACAAGTAATTGCCTTATCCTGGTTAATGTTTAGGTCTTTAGATGTTCATATTTATTTATTTATTTATTTAATTTCTTACATACATGACAATAGTGGAGTTCATTACATTCATAATTATCAATTCACAGCACAATTTTTCGTATCTCTGTATATAAAGTATGTTCACACCAAATTATGCCATTATATATGCACTCTCTCTTTTTTTCATTACAATTCTTAATACACCTTTATACCACAATTTATCATATCTCTGTTTGTATATAAGGTATGTTGACACCAAATTCACATCTTCATACATGAATTTTGTATAATCATGACCGTCTCCTTCCATTATTCTTGCTATTCCCATTCTCCTTCCCTTTCCCTCCCACCTGTATTCCCTATCAAAAGGTAATTTTCCACCCATGCTCTCCCTCTCTACTCCATTTTGAGCCACTGCCTTATATTAGAGAAAACATTCAGCATTTGATTTTTGGGGATTGGCTAAATTCACTTAGCATAATTTTCTCTAATGCCATCCATTTCCCTGCAAATGCCATAAACTTATTGTTTTCTAGTGCTGAGTAATATTCTATTGTGTATAAATGCCACAATTTTTTTTATCCATTTATCCATTGAAGGGCATCTAGGTTGGTTCCACAGTCTAGCTATTGTGAATTGTGCTTCTATAAACATTGATGTGTCTGTGTCCCTGTAGTATGCTGTTTTTAGGTATTTTGAGTATAGTCTTAGAAGAGGAATAGTTGCATCAAATGGTGGTTCCATTCCCAGTTTTCCAAGGAATTTCCATACTTATTTCCAAATTGGCTGCACCAATTTGCAGTCCCATCAGCAATGTATGAGTGTACCTTTTTCCCCACATCCTTGCCAGCACTTGTTGTTGTTTGACTTCATGATGGCTGCCATTCTTACTGGAGTGAGATGGTATCTTACAGTAGTTTTAATTTGCATTTCTCTGATTGCTAGAGATGGTGAGAATTTTTTCATGTATTTGTTGATTAATTGTATATCATCTAAGAAGTGTCTGTTCAAGTCCATGGCCCATTTGTTGATTGGATTATTTGGTTTTTTTTTTTTGTTTGTTTGTTTGTTTGTTTGTTTGTTTGGTGTTTAGCTTTTTGAGTTCTTTGTATACCTTAGAGATTAGACTATCTGATGTATGAGGTGTAAAAATTTGTTCCCAGTATGTATGTTCCCTATTCCCTTCACACATTATTTCTCTTGCTGAGAAAAAACTTTTTAGTTTGAGTTCATCCCATTTGTTGATCTTGGTTTTAGTTCTTGTGCTATAGGCATCTTATTAAGGAACTTGGGGCCTAACCCCACATTATGGAGATTAGGGTCAACTTTTTCTTCTATTAGATGTAGAGTCTCTGGTTTGATTCCTAGATCCTTGATCCATTTTGAGTTAACTTTTGTGCATGGTGAGAGATAGGGATTCAATTTCATTTTGTTGCATATGGATTTACAGTTCTCCCAGCACCATTTGTTGAAGATGTTGTTCTTTCTCCATTGCATGCTTTTTAGCAAATTTGTCTAATATAAGGTAGTTGTAATTTTGTGAGTTGGTGTCTGTGTCCTCTATTCTGTACCATTGGTCTACCAGCCTGTTTTGGTGCCAGTACCATGCTCTTTTTGTTACTCTTGCTCTGTAGTATAGTTTAAGATCTGGTATAGCAATACCACCTGTTTCACTCTTCCTGCTTAGAATTGCTTTAGCTATTCTGGGTCTCTTATTTTTCCAGATGAATTTCATAATTGCTTTTTCTATTTCTGTGAGGAATGCCTTTGAGATTTTGATCAGAATTGTGTTGAATCTATAGAGTGCTTTTGGCAATATGGCCATTTTAATAATATTAATTTTGCATATCAATGATCAAGGTATATCTTTCCATCTTCTAAAGTCTTCTTATATTTCTTTATTTAGGGTTCTATAATTTTCATTGTATAGATAGTTCACCTCTTTTGTTAAGTTAATACCCAAGTATTTTATTTTTTTGCAGATATTGTGAATGGGGAAGTTTTCCTCATTTCTATTTTCAGGGGATTTGTCACTGATATACAAGAATCCCTTTGATTTATGGGTGTTGATTTTATATCCTGCCACTTTGCTGAATTCATTTAATGGTTCTAAAAGTTTCTTAGTAGAACTTTTTGGGTCTGCTAGGTATAGGATCATATCATCAGCAAATAGTGCTAGTTTAAGTTCTTCTTTTCCTATATTTATGCCTTTAATTTCTTTCTTCTGTCTAATTGCTCTGGCTAGTGTTTCAAGAACTATGTTGAATAGAAGTGGTGAGAGAGGGAAACCCTGTCTTGTTCCAGATTTTAGAGGAAATGCCTTCAATTTTTCTCCATTTAGAATGATGCTGGCCTGAGGCTTAGCATAGACAGCTTTTACAATGTTGGGATAAGTTTCTGTTATCCCTAGTTTTTCTAGTGTTTTAAACATAAAGGGATGCTGTATTTTGTTGAATGCTTTTTCTGCGTCTATTGAGATGATCATATACTTCTTATCTCTAAGTCTATTGATGTGGTGAATTACATTTATTGATTTCTCTATGTTGAACCAGCCTTGCATCACAGGGATAAAACACACTTGATCACGGTGCATGATGTTTTCCATATGTTTTTGTGTCCAATTTGAATTTCATTGAGGATTTTTGCATCTATATTCATTAGAGATATTGCTCTGAAGTTTTCTTTCTTTGAACTGTCTTTCTCTGGTTTTGGAATCAGGGTGATATTGGCCTCATAGAATGAGTTTGGAAGTACTTCCTCTTTTTCTATTTCCTGAAATAGATTAAAGAGTATTGGTATTAATTCTTCTTTAAAGGTCTTGTAAAACTCTGCTGTATATCCATCCACTCCTGGGCTTTTCTTGGTTGATAATCTTTAGATTGCTTCTTCTATTTTCTCACATGATATTTGTCGGTTTAAGTTGTGTATATCTCCCTGACTCAATCTGGGCAGATATGACTTAAGGAATTTATCGATGCATTCACTACCTTCTATCTTATTGGAGTATGAACTTTCAAAATAATTTCTAATTATCTTCTATAACAGACTGTTGTAATATTGCCTTTTTCATCCAGTATGCTAGTAATTTGGGTTCTTTCTCTTTTTCTCCTCATTAGCTTGGCAAATGGTCTGTCAATCTTATTTATTTTTTCAAAGAACCAACTGTTAGTTTTGTCAATTTTTCAACCAAGGCATGTATATCTTGAAATCTTTATCTGACATTTTTTTATGCTGCAGCTAACAACTCCTCTATTATTGAGTTGCCCTGCATTGTTTGTGCTCATTTCCCCCTTGTTTTTCCATGATGCTCACATTTTTTTCTTGCTCTGTGTGAGTGCTGTTATTATTTACTTGTATAAATTTGTGTTGCTTTTGTATAGCTCCGAGGTCTCTCCTTTGAGATGGGAGACAATGTCTAGGGGTATTGGATTCAATTGAAATTTAAACATAAAGTCCTACTTCCGATCCTCAGTTCTCAAACACCACCAGAAACTGTATGCCTTTTATGAATCTAATGAATTTAGTTTAAATTTATGTTGATGGGCTTCCCAGTCTCTAGAATCATGAAACATATAAACTTATACTGTTTAAAATTTACACCTCCTGTGGTATTGTCATTTCAGTTCTAAAATAAATTTCACCTGACCTCTAGCTCAGCATGATAGTGCATGCATGTAATCCCAGTGACTTGGGAGTCACCAGTATCCGAAAAATTACCTCTAGAAATTAGTAACAAATATTTAGCACTACTTAAAGGTACATAAAGATAGTGTAGTATGTAAGCAGTTTTGAAAAGCCATCAGAGAAAGAAGAACAGGTGCCTGAAGGACTGAATAGTTTTGGGGCTCTAAAAAATATTTATTTTATAAGAAGCAATATAAATATAATCTAGGATATATTATATTTTCTTCTATTCTGATGAATAATAAAATATGATTTGATTTACATGTGATCTATAAAAAGTATCTCTGAAGGAAGAAGCATGCAAGGACCACAAATATAGTGATGTGTCCTCAGTAGGATGAAGTACAATTCAACTCATCATGGAAGACACTCAATAGCAGTTTTATAGGGTGATGAAGACATTAAGGAAGGAATACTTACTGTATGATCCCATTCATAAAACTTTACAAAAGTAAAAACTGACCAAATACCACAAAGAGCAACTAAAAACTGACCAAATACCACAGAGAGCAACCACTGGTTGCCTGGGAGGTGCTGTGAGAAGAGATAGAGGAAGTATTCCCACAGGGCAAAAGAGGTTTGTGGGGTGTGATGGGTTTCTTGACTTTATGTGTGGATCTTCTCAAATGTGTGAACATATCTCAATATTTGTACAGAATTTCATTCCTGGGTAGTTAATGTCTGCCAAATATCCCACAAAAGAAAAGTTATATAAAACATTGGCTACAATAGGAATCACTGGATTACATAATGAGAATCAAGGAGAGATGACACAGCTCTCTGGAAATAAGGAAGAATAGATAAAAGAACCACAGGACTCCCCATCAGATGTCAAAACTGAGATGATCAGGGTTGCACTGGCTGCCACATCACCTAAACTTCAGGTAAAGGAGACCACAACATCCTGAATGTTCAGCATCTCAAGCTAAAAAGGAGAAATGATTTATGTTTATATGGAGACATTTTCCTAGGAACATCCTGTTGTGAATGAGTCTGAGGAAAGAGGTCAAGAGGCTCCTCACTCAAAGAAGTACTAGGAGATTCAGCTGGGCCTATAGTACTGGCAGCAAAAAATGTCCAAAGTCAAGCGTGAGCAAAGCTGCTGCGTGTTTCCCTTCCTGACAGATGGCAAAAGGTGCTCTTGTCTTACTTCCCCATGAGCCTGGAGCACTGTGCAAGCACCAAGGCTGTAATCATAAGACTGAGAGAAATAGTCAGCCTCATCCTCAGGCTGAATCCCAATGATGGTAAGCAAAGCAGAGTTGCCAGACTTGGAGCCAGAGGAGCGATCAGGGACCCCTGAGGGTCGAATACTATTACCATAGATAAGGAGTTTAGGGGCTGTTTCTGGGAACTGCTGATAACAGTGTGCATCAGAGCCACCCCCAATATTGTTGCTGCTTCCAGTGCAGGAGATGGTGACCATCTCTCCTGGAGTCCCAGACAGTGAGGGCTGCTGAGTCAGCACAGACTGGGCCCAGGACTCTGAAAGAGAGAGAGACACAGAGAGGGTTATTTTTGCCTAGAAACAAGAGTAGAATCAGGATCCATATCAGAGAACTCCCACACCATATCCCTCCTCCATATCATGACACCTGTGCACTGAACAAGGAATGTGAAGAGGAGACAGGACCAGGCCATTGTGAAGATAATCCTAAGCTCTGCCTTCTGTTCCTGATACTGAGCAGAGGTTCCCCCCAGTCTCTCTCTTGCTCTCTTTATACACTGAGAAGGGGAGGGTTGATCTATACAAATTAAATCCTCCAGGCTTTCTAATTGAACCCTGGGCCCTGGTTAACATTTATGTAAACAGATGCCAATTGAGTGTGCAGGGGTGGAGTTGGGTTTGCTCATTGGTGTGGGAGATCACAGCTGTGATCTCTATCATGAGAGCACCAGGCAGAGCCAGGTGGCTTATTACAGTTCTGGTTCCTTTACAAACCCTCTTAACTGGTCTGCAGTGCCCCTTATTGCCCAAGCCCATACAAATCATCATGTGACATTCCAGAACTCCTGAGAGAGTCTTGCATTCCCACTGAATATGCAGGTGTGTGAGCCCCTTCTGTGGCCTCCCAGTACCTCAGAGAGGCCATCTTGATTTTCTCAGACTCTTCATGGCAAACTTATGCATAGTTCACTTGACACCTCACTGTAAAGGTCTAAGATGGTGTCTCTGATATAAATTCTTCTCAGATCAGGAGTAAGCAGGTAAACATAATGTTTCTGGTTTTATTAATTTGCAGGGTACCATCATGTTTATCTAACAAAAAACTTTGTTTCAGGGGTCCTTTCACCTTGGACTTGGCAAGAAACTGAGTTGTGAAATCTTATGAATTACCACTCAGAAGGTACTTGTATGCATGTTTTCAATCTTTCTCAGTTCATATTTGTAATCCTTATTGCTGGAATGTGACTGAGGGTTGTGAATATCAGTCAGTCCCAGCCATATAACACTTCAGCCACCATTGGCTACATGGAATGCCACAGGGACTGTAGACCCTGAAAGGGCTGAAATTGCAGGACTTGTTAATGTTTTGAGTCATGGATGAAAATGTCTTGTTTCCTAGCCAGTGGCAATGATGCAGGTTGTCTGGGCATGAATATCAGCCTTTTCTTCATATTTGTTCAATATGATTTAGTGTATTTCACAAGTGTGAAAAAATTCTACCTAAAGAATTTTTTATAATGTTTCATTTCTTTTTTTATTTTAATTTTTAAATTTTTATTTACTATATATTTTATTACTATTTGTTCTTATTAGTTATAGATGACACTAGAATGTATTTTAACATATTATACACACATGGAGTATAACTTTCAATTTTCCAATTGTACGTGATGTATAATTACATTGGTCATGTGCTCATATATGAACATAGGAAAGTAATGTCTGACTCATTCTACTATCTTTCCTATTCCCAACCCCCCTCACTTCCCTTCATTATCCTTTGTCAATACACAGTACTTTTATACTTCCTTATACACCTGCCCTTATTGTGAGTTAACATACACATATAAGAGAGAATATTCACCCTTTGTTTTTTTGGCTTATTTCATACAGCATGATAGACTTCAGTTCCATCTATTTACCAGCAAATACCACAATTTTCTTTCTCTTTATGTCTGAATATTCTTCCATTATTTATATATACCACATTTTCTTTATCCATTTATCTATTTAAGGGCACATAGGCTTTTTCCATAGTTTATACACTGAGAAATAACCTGCTATAAATATTGATGTGCCTGTCTCACTATAGTATGCTCTTCTTAAGTCCTTTGTGTATAAACTTAGGAGTAGGATAGCTGAGTGAAATTGTGGTTCCATTGCAAGCTTTCTGAGACTCTCCATATGGCTTTCCAGAATAGTTGCACCATTTTGCATTTCTACTACCAATGTGTGAGTGTACCATTGTCAAATTTATTTTTGCTTGTATTCTTGATAATAGCCATAGTGACTGGAGTGAGATGGTATCTCAGTGTATTTATAATTTGAACTTCTCTAACTGCTAGAGATGTTGAATATTTTTTCATGATTTTGATTGTTCCAGATCCCAAGTAGGTAACAAGTGCTATTCTGGAGCCTAGAAACTTTCATACTTAAGAATCTAACTCACCTCATGGTAGGTTGGTACTCTCAACTCCAGCACAATTTAAATATATACTGAAATAAAAATCAAGCAGCTATGTTTACTTCAGTGAGAAGAGAAATTGTGAACATTACTAAATCTAATATTTGTTTTATATTTATGAAAGTGATGGTATAGAGATTAGAAAATATAACAATTTAAAATGCATTATTTTAAAATGAACTATATGTACATTATCAAGTTATTCAAATTTATAAAATTTTAATATATTAAATATTAATCATTATCTACTCCTTTCTCATTCTTTCTTTTCTCTGTAAGGAACAGACAATTATATGTCACCTTGAGATATTTTGTTGTTTTAATTAAAATTTATATTTCCACCTTCACATGTTTCTCTCAACTGCAATGAATGTTAATGTTCTGGAGATTTTTCCTTTACACAGAACAAGCTTCACTTGCCCTTCATTTAAAAAAGAGCAATACCAAAAGGTCCTTCTACATACTGCAGATCAGAAAGTTTAATTATCCTCTTCTTCATGAGTGTACTCATCTCCACCAGCACATACAGAGTTTTCTTTTAATTATCTTCTCTATTTACCTCCAATTATAAACTCAGAAATTTTGAACTCTTTACACCAAGAAACATGAAACTAATTATATAAAATGGCCAATGTTTCAGAAAGAAAATTGAAGATAGAAAATAAGCACATGCTGGTGCAACTGCAAATAAGTGCAATCACTCCACAAAGCAATATGAAGATTCCTTAGAAAGTTTGGAATGGCATATAATTTGACCCAGTTATCCCACTCCTTGGCCTATACCCAAAAGACACAAAACCAAAATACTACAGTGACTCAGTCACATTAATTTTTATAGAAGCTCAATTCACACTAGCCAAGTTATGAAACCAACTCAGGCACCTTTCAAAAGATGAATCAAAAAATTATGATATATATATATATACACACAATGGGATATTACTCAGACATATAGAGATATGAAATTATGGCATTTGCTGGTAAATGAATGCAACTGGAGACTATCATGCTAAGTGATGTAAGCCACTCCCAAAACAACAAAGGCCAAATGTTCTCTGTGATATGTGGATAAACTTATAGCAACTGAAAGTAGGGAGAAGAATTGAAGTTCATTGAATGGACAAAGGGGAATAAAGGTAAGGGAAGTGGATTGAGAAAATAATAAAAAGTAGATTGAATTGGACAAATCTTTTATTTCTTCATATATGAATAAATGACCAGTGTAACTCCACATCATATTCAACCATAAGAATAGGAGAAAAATTGTAGTGTGCTGTTCCCCGTATGTATATGTCAAGATATATTGCCGCAGTCCGGCTGGGAAAAATAACCAGGAGGTGACAAGCAACTTGAAGGTTGAAGCAGGAACTGCTTTATTGCAGAAAGTGGTATATATACCTAACTGATTACACACAGCTTGACTCAATTAGCATCATCCAGTTACAGCAATCAGCCAATAAGGAATCCCTACCATCTTAATGGCTTGGTGGCGTTGCCTCACAAACCACTCCTCCTGGCAAACTGCCAGGTGTCATTTTGACTTGATTTGCAGTCCCCAACAGTATATGTTGTCAGACATATGTAAACACAACAAATAAAACAAAGAAAATAAGCACATTCTAATAATAGATTAAGTTTAGTGTAATTTCACTAAACAATCTATTATTAGAATATGAATATTCAAGTAGCAATGAAATAAGATACACATTCATGGGATGATTTAATTTTCCACAAACATATTTTTTGTGAAAATAAACATATACTAAACCTGTATATTCACTGTGAATCCAGGTGCCTGAAGGTGAAGTTGAAATAAAAATGAATGATGACTTAGGCTCAGCTAGCATAAACTCATCCATTCCCTAAGTCCGATCTGTGGATTACTGCATAGACACAGGCATACACTGGTTATTCATAGGAAGAATGAACCACTTAAAAGAGGATATTAGCCTACCATTATACTTCTTTCCTTCATTAATTTAAACTCATTTAAAGATCTTTGATTATGAAGATATAGGATTTTAAATGCACACTATTCTTTCAACTAGGCTTCATAATATGTCAAAAGTAAAATAAATCAATTTTATTGTTATGTTCTAAGGCTTTGAAATATTGAAATTGGAAATTAAGTTTAGAAAATATTTTACATGGGGCAAGACAACTTATTTTTCAAATATTATTCTTACTGCTTCCACTTGGAGCAGAACATCTGAATTCTATTATTAGCATGGACAGTTTACATGAGTCTATGAATAAGTAGTTTTAAAAAAAATATGCAAATAAAGAGACAAAATATAACAAGCCCTTACATATCAATCTACAGAGTCATCACAGATGTTTACATATTAAACTCAATGATAGTCATTTAAAGAACATGCATTAACAGAATTCAGGTCTAATTTACAAGTACAATTTCTGAGCCTAATAGGTAGATATTGATCAATGCTTAAATTTATTTCATATATCTATATAATTATGTAAAGAAAATAAAAGGAGACACAGACACAGATGCAGAAGCAGGAATGATGGCTGCTCATCCATGTTACAACATTTATTTATACCAATAGGTTACATTAGGTCATTAGTGCCATACTACATCATATTGTTTATGATATCAGGGAGGTTGCTTATTCTGCAGTTACTTTCTATAATTACAATATGCAATGTTAGGAGCTTTGTGTAGCTCTCAAAAAAGTTCATTGTCTGATGTTACTGTTAGGTGGGCAGATCCAGGAGCACTGGGGCTTGGTGAAACATTGTAGTTATCTATCAAGTAAATTTCTTTATTCCCAGGAGCTATGTATCTGAGATTAAGGTCTAGGCTGATAAGAATCTAGCACAGAACCTCCTTAT